TCCTTCACCCCAAACAAAAAGCGACCATGTGGTGCTGGAAATGGACCTGGGCCAGAGTGACCCCAGCTTTCCCAGGGAGGCGCAGATGGCCTCCAGAGGCATCCTCACGAGGCCCTGAAGGTCCCAAGAGGCTCCCAACGTGGCACGAAGAGCTGGGAGCACCCCAGGGTGGTCCTCGCCGGCCCAGGGTCCCTGGGCCGGCGAGGACCACTTCTGGCAGCACCGTGAGAGGCGTCTTCCCTGACCCCGAGTCGGCAAGGAACAGTCGGCGTCGTCGCGGGATACCCCCTGGCGTCGCTCTGGGAGGGGGTCCTTCGCCGACCCAGGAGATCCGTGCGGACGTCCGACCTTCTGCGGTTGTGCCGCTGCTCGTTCTCTGCGGACATGCAGAAGGCCCTCGTGGGTTCTCGTTGGCCTCCCTCTCGTCGTGAAGGTGTGGCTGAGATCGTCTCACCCGGGAAAGAGTTGCCAGAGCGCAGCCAGGGCGTGGTCAGGATGTCTCCAGAGGCCCCCCGGACGCCACGGCGGCTTCGCGTGGTACCGACGCGTTTTTTTTTTTTCCCTCTGGCGCAGGTGTTCCATGTTGCACGCCGTCAGCGGGCTGGAATCGGCCGACAGCGCGCGGTCCGCACTATTGGAACGCCGCGACTGTGCGAGGTGGAACGATCCACGCGGTGTCCGAAGAACCGACTGCGCAAGTCGTCACGGCACGAGCCAGCCGTACCCGACGTCGGCGTCTGCCGGGGGGGGCCCCGCAGGCCCCGCGACTCTCGCTGCCGTGCTGGCTGGCTCCGGCCAGCTGGGGTCTGATTCCCGAGCGAACCGAGCCATGGACTCCCAGGGCCTGCAGCCCCCCCGAGGCAGACTTCGCAGAAAGCCTTCTACAAGCCTCGTCAAAAATAAACAGAAGACTTCTGAATTCGGTGATTGTGGGGTCAGCACTACTCCAATGCTGACGGATTCCTGATGACTCGGACGCGGCGTTGTCCAAAAACCGACCCCACCCTCTCAGCATTGAAGAACGCGCTTTCTGACAAGTGCCAGACAGCATCGTGCTCCAGGATTTCAACTTCCATTTCTGGATAGTTTTGACGAAGCTTGAACGACATCCCCAGGGGCTCCCACAATCGGCCAAGCGCAGCGGGGGATAGAGGGAGGGGGGAGGCTTCTCAGAAGCACCCCTGCTCCCTAGAAGGGCAGATGCAGGGCTGGCGCCGTCCAAGAAGCAGCCTTCGTTTAAGAAGCTCCCCCCCTCCATATACCCCCCTCTGCGACGGGGCTAGGACGAGGATAAAGCCGTTCCAGGGCGTTCTGGAGCGCTCTCAGAGTGTTCCGGAACACTTAGAGAAGGCCGCGGCGCCCGAGACGTCCTCCAGAGCCGCCGCCAGATCTCAGAGATTATCGCTTTGTCCTCACCCGTTTTGATCATCCTCTTGGCTTCGGATTAGACTTCGCAGAAGTTTCGTTGCAGTTTCGGGGGACCGTATTAGTTTCTTGTCTCGTGCCGGATTCGGGCTCGATGCGGTCGCGGCACGGATTTGGCGTGGATTCGGTGTGGATTTGACGCGGATTCGGCGAGCCCGACGCGGCATCGGCACAGATTTTTTGCGGATCGGGGCGCGACGGGACAGACAAGGCCCTTCGAAGCTGTGACAGAACAGAAAGCCTCCCACGACATCCCCAGGGGCTCCAACGAGCTCCCATGGGCTCCCAGGGCTTCCCAGGAGCCCTCGTGGACCCGGAGAGGCGCCGCCTGCCTGGGCTCTGTCGAGAGGGCTTCTCAGAGCCTCCCAGCGGCTTCCCAGGGCTTCCCCGGGAGCCTGCTGGGGCGCCCTGATGGGAATCTTCCCAAGGCTCCCGGGATGACGAACGAACAACACACGCCCTTACCCATGGGAGGGCTGGCGGACTGGCCATGGGTATGGGTGCGGGTTGTCGGACCCTGGGGGAGACTCCCGTTCGAACGGGGACAGGGGACCCCCATCCGACAGCACGCACTCATGGCCCCTCCATCCCCCCTACTTCTGGGTATGGTCGCGTGCTGCTCGTTCGTCACAGGAGCCAGTCGGGCCCCCAGAGCTTCCACGGCCTTCCACGGGCCTCTCTCCTCCCTCTCCGCCCTCTCCTTCCTCTCCTCTCTCGGACCTGAGAGCCTCCCCAGGGTTTCGAGAATCTCCCCAGGCCCTCCCAGGCGCCTCCCGAGTCCTCCCCGCCCAGGCATGCGTCCATGTGACTTTGCAATCCGCCGCCCCAGAGCTCCCGACGCCTTCCCTGGGGGTAGTTTTTCGCCCCGGATCCGTTTTTGATGGTCCTTGGCCCGGTGACGGGCACCAGAGGCCGACAGCGAGGAAATACGCCGGGATTGACGAAGAAGAAGAAGAAGAAGAAGAAGAAGAAGAGGAAGAAAAAGAAAAGAAAAAGAATAATAATAATAATAATAATAATAAAAAGTCCATTCGCCGGAGATCTGGGCAGAGCTTCCCCGCTCGCAGCCCTTGGTGGCCCAAGCCCCGCAGCGCCTCCAAGGTAAGATGGCGCCTGGCCCGCGCGCGAGCAGGCGCGGGGGGGCCGGCGGGGGCCTCGGAGCGCTGGGGCAGGACCTGCACCTGAGGCTGGCGCGGTTTCTCGGCTGGCACGAGGCGATCGCCCTCTGGGCCGCGCTGGCCCCGGGCCGCGCCTCGTGGCGGGTCCTGGTGTCCGCGCTCGTGGCGCAGCGGGGCCATGACGAGGGGTTCCTGGCCGACCTCTCCACGCTGCGCGACGCTCGCCGCTACCGGGCCCTGCGCGCCGCCTACGCGGAGCTGCACCCGGCGGAGGTGCGCCGCGCGCTCTCGCACTCGTACGCCCCCGACAGGATGCTGGACGGCATCGTCGCCGGCGACGACGCCGCGCTGCTCGAGGTGCTGCTGGAGGCGCACAGGCACCTCAGCATCGACGCCGCTGCGCTGCTGGGGGCCGTGGAGCGCCGCTCGCGGAGGTGCCTGCGGCTGCTGCTCTCGGAGGCCGAGGGCGACGAGGCGGCCGCGGGCCAGGCGCCGGGCCGCGGAGGCGCAGCGTCGGCCGGCAGCCGGCCGCCTCGCGTGAGGATCGAGTACCCCAGGGCCAGGGGGCCCGCTGCGAGCGCTGCAGAGGCCGGCCCCGAGGGCGTGGACTTCGGCCGCTTCCCCCAGTGCCTGCTGTGGCAGGCTGCGCTGTCGCGGGACGCCGAGATCTGCGACCTGGTCTGGGGCCACTTGCTCGGCAGGTGCGGCGCGGGCAGCGAGGCCCCGGAGCGGCGGGCGGCCGCGGCGCAGCAGCTGCGCCTGTGGGCCGCGTGCTGCGGCGCTGCTGCGGGCAGCGCTCCGCTGCTGTCGCGCTGCACCGGGCCCCTGCCAGAAAGGGTCTCGTTCCGCGCGGGGGCCACCGCCAGAGGCGGCGCTGCCCCGTCCCTGGAGTTCGAGGACGCGCCCCTCGCCGTGGTGGCCGCTACTTGTGGGCACGCCGCCGCTCTCCGGCAGCTTCTGTCGCTAGGGGCGGACCCGGAGCTGTGCACACGTCGCGGCCTCACTGCGCTCGCGGCCGCGGAGCGGCACCCGCCCGAGCTCTACGGCCGCCTGGCGGCGGCGCTGGGCGTCGGCGGCGGTGGCCACGCCGCGGGCCGGGCTGCTGGTGCACACGCGGTTTCTGCTGGCAGGGGCGCCAGCCCCATCTCGGCGGCGATCCAGCGAGGGGACTTCCCGGCCCTGAAGGGGCTGCTGGCGCGCGGTGCACGCTTCCAGGCGAGAGATATCCTCTCCGCTGTGAACAGCGGGGAGCTGGAGGTGCTCGCCTTCGTGCAGGGGGAGTGCCAGGCGTCGGTGGACCACGCCGAGTACAGGGCCATGATGCGGCAGACCGCCGCGGCGATCCAGGAGGCCTCGAGGAAGAGGCGCCCGCGGACTCCCGCGGACCAGAGCGAGGAGGCGGCCCATCAGGCGGTGATGCGCCTCGGCGGCCAGGTGGTCCAGGCGTGCTCCGCCGCGAATGCGGCCGCCCCCGCCGCCGCCAGCGCCCCCGCGGTCCTGCCCAGGCCCGGCAGTGGCGCCCGGCCCGGCAGCGGCGCGCGGCCCGGCAGTGGCGCCCTGCGGCGCGCGGGCGCGGCAGCCTTGCAGGGCCCCAGCGGCGTCGTCCGCCAGTCTGGCGGTGCGCTCGCGAAGTGCTCGCCCCCGAAGCCCGTCGCGTGACGGGCCGGGGGCCGTCCGCGCTGCCAGTCACGGCGCCTCGTTCGCGCCCTGGCCCGACGCTGGGGCCCCTGCGATGTTCGCTCTCGCTGTTTTTCAGGCCGCTGGCCGGGTCTTCTCCTGGTCGCCCAGCAGGCTGACCGCTGTGTGGTGCCGCTCGGCGACGAGCGTTGCGACAGAGATTGGTGTCCTTCTCGTGCTTGTCCTCGTCGTCCGCCAGAGCTTTCCACGGTGTCCCTTTGGCTTCTTTCGAGGCATCCCAGAATCTTGCAGGACGTCTGGCCTTCCCAGCCCCAGACATGTTCGCATCGTGAAAAATAGCGACGGAAGGTGTTTGACAGTTTTCGGCCTCTGGGGGCCCTCGCTGGGCCCCAGGACCTTCAAACCATGACTCGAGACGAAAACTGGCCCTGGCGGAGGGGTCGGGCCTTCTGTGGTGTCCGTATTGGAAAAACCAAGACGTCGCCCATGTCTGGGGCAGGGACCTTCGCAGGGGCCTCCCCAGGAGATCCCTTCTGTTTCCCAGGCGCCTTCCTGAGCCTCCCCTGGGGCCTCTCAGAGCTCTCCCTGAGGCCCCCAGGTCGGAAACTGGAACCTATACATTACCAGCGGGGGGCTGTTTTTCAACACCAGGACTTTTTTGCGGGTCGGGGACGACGTCGGGGTGGTGTGGTGTATACTTGTCTCCCCGGTTTCCCGGGAAACAACGCAAAATGTATACACCAGGATCCTGTATACACCAGGATCCGCGTTCCTGTGCGAATTTCAGCGCAGGGTCGGGAAAAGCGTCGGTGTATAGAGTTAATTTCCCTACCAGGGGCCTCAAGTTCGGTGGGACAGCGGGCGGTTACGTGGCGCCGCCCCGCGTGAACCCCCGACGCCTCCCCCCCGGCGACGAGGGGCTTTGCTCGTCCAGGGTTCCCGCTTCTGCTATCGAAGAAGCTCAGGAGGGGAAAAACACACAGACACAATTAATAGTCGATTCCCCAGAAAATATGGGAGAATATGGGAAGTGTGGGGGGGGGGAAGACAGAAACCCCCAACATATGGGAAACTATTGGAATATTATCCGTAAGGGCTTCGCCCCCTGCCGCCGGCTCCCTCTCTCGGAGAATGGGCCATGGAAGAGCTAAGTCATGAGGCTTTGGCGCTGTCGTGCAGCAGTATCGGAACTTCATGCGAGGCCGATTCGCAATCGGCAAAACCAACTGATCACAAGAGGGGTTACCACACAGGGCGATTGGTGAGACGTGTATGGTTTACGAGCTTGGTTACCACACCTTGGGATTAAAGGGCCGAGGGAGTACTCGCAGTTTGGGTTACCACGCCTTGCGATGGATGCGCGTGAGGGGTGGCACCGAATATGTGGCAAATCCTTTGTGTTTTTGGACCCTGACCCCGCGGATCTGCGTGAGGGGTGGCACCGAATTTCAGAAATGTGGCAAATCCCATGTGTTTTTGGACCCTGACCCTGCGGATCTGCGTGAGGGGTATTGATTTCGAGCCCCCCCAGCAATTCAGACAACGCGCCCAGGAGGTGCTAAAAATACCGTTTGGGCCCCCCCCCCCTCGCGCGGTCAATCAACTAGTTACAGTAACCAGCAAGAAGCAGAACTGCAACACTGGAAACTACAAGCTACAACTGGTACTGGAAACTGCGAACCCGTGCCTCGCAGCCTGGTGGCCCCACAAGGGGGCCGGCGGATTCGGTAAGGAAGGAACAGTTTGGGTAAGAAGGGGCTCGACGCTCCTTAGGTCCTCCTATGGCGTTTCCTCTGGCCTTCCTCGTGCACGCAGGCGCTTGTGGGGCCAAAAAGGGGGCCTCGCTCCTTGTTTATCGTTCCCTCTTTCAGCAGCCCGACTGTACGGCGAACCATCGCCGCCCCATGCCTTTTGGGAGCGCCCGCGCGGCCCAGCGTCGGGCCAAAGCGTGCCGAGCTATTGGCCCACGTGCTCCCCGTCGCTGTGGGAGCCCCTGGGGAGGCGGGGCCGTATGGAAGACCCCTCGGACCGTCTTGGATGCCTCTTGTGGGCCTCTTTGGCCGTCTTGGGCCACCTTGGGGCACCTTGGGGCGCCCCGGAGGGCTCCAGGCGTTCCGGCGCGCTCCGGAAACGACCCCAGAGAGCCCCGAGACGTTCCACGACGACGCCCAAAGTTCGTTTCGAAACGTCCCGGGAGGCCTCCAAGAGCACTCCCAAGAAGGTCCCAAGACGCAGAATTCATGGGTCTTCTGTTGGTTTTTGGTGAATTTTGGAGTTTTCCTCTTTTCGGCTTCCCGTCGCACCACGACGGCGGTCTTCTGAGCGTCCGATGCCGCCTGGGAGGCTCGAAAATCGCCCCAGAACTATCCGAGCGGGCTTCCAGGCAGTCCAAGAGAGAGCCCCATGACTGCACAACAGGGTTCCGAGATGGCCTAAGAGAGCCCCATGACGGCCCAAGATGGCCCCAAGACACCCTCCGAAGCATTCCAAATCGTGACCCGGCCGTTCAGGGAGGCCGCTGTTGGAGGCAGGGTGGCCCGAGGAAGCCCCCAGAGCCCCCCAGAAGAAGCACAGGAGCCTCCGCAAAAAGAGCCGAGGAGGATGGGGAGAATACTACGCATGGTATGGCGAGAATGAGGAACAAACATGAGGAAGGATAACGAAAAGCATTACTATAACGGCGATGCTGGAAAAGGTAACAAGGAGTTATCACTAACCTGTCGGCTTGACCTTCCTGCCAATCCGCCTGCATACCACACTTCAAGGACCAAGGTGCATGGCGCGAAACGCCAATGCAGTCTTCCATATATATATATATATATATATATATATATATTTGTGGGAAACACGGGGGATGGAGGGGAAGAGCAACATCTAGGCAGGATTTCACACATTTGCGAATCCTCAGATTTGTGTCTGTTCTACTTGTGTGCCTCTGGGCCCCTGTATACAAGTGACCTGAGGCCACTCCACTCAGTGCCTCGCGGTGCTGTGGCGGGTGCTGTCTCGCGCGCCGGCGTGTCTCGCACGCATGACCCCAAGCACATTTGGCCACGTTCTCCTCTGAGCGCTGCGGCGCTGTCCACCCACTCCGCCTCGGAGCGCGCCTCGGCGCGGCGCCGGTATCCTGTCCTGTCCTGTCCTGTCTTACCCTCGGTGGGGGCCCCTCGTCGCCGGAGCCCGACGCGGCTTGGAGAGCTGGTTAGAGCGGTGTCCGGGAAGGGGTCCAGTCGCTAGGAGGCCTGAGGGTTTGCACCAACACCAACATTGGCGGCTGACTCCACTGAGGGAAGACGATCCTGATCTGGGATGGTGGTAGTATTCGGGCTCCCCAGGTGGCCGAAAGACTTCCCCTGGTTGAGGCACCCCTCTGTGTTGGTGTTTGTGGCAATTGTCAATTTGTTTAATTTATCCCCATCCCCCCCGGGCTTTGATACCTCAGCCCCACCGTCCCCAGTTGGGGACAGGCCCCTCGAAACCCGAAGAGAGCAGCCTAGATCCCCATCCAGGGGTACATCGGCCAGAGGGGCCAAGGCCATGCCAAGGGGGATGGGGATCGTTTAGACGATGCTCACATGAGCGACGCCAGAAAACGGGTTCGTCTGCGCCGGCACTGGCCGCTGAGCTGCCCGCGCCAGATCGCGCGTGGGCGCCCCCGCCTCCTCTGTGGCGTGCCGCGCTGGCGGCCCGCGGAAGGGGCGGCCTACGGTCGCTATGCCATCTCGAGCAAGACTACGGTAGGTTTGCGTCGTGTCGACCAGCGGCGACCCCAGCGTGGGCGTTCAAGGTTGAACGCCGCCGGCGACCCAGAATCGATCGACGTTGAACGATTGGACGTTGCGGAGACGGCCGATCGTTCAAGGTTGAACGATCCAGCGCGGTGTCAAAAACCAACGCTGGGGTCGGCACGACACGAACCCGCCGTAGATTCTCTCGTCGCTCACACTTCCCAGCCTCGAAGCAGCGGACTTGGCTTCCTCCGGGCGCGCGTGCGAGGCGGCGGGCCCGCGGCCTCCCGGCTCAGGGCACGCGCCGCGCCGGCAGCCAGCGCGCCGCCGCCCGCGCGCCGGGCGCGCTGTGGCATGGACCGCCAGCAGCCAGCGCGCCGAGCGGCACCTGCGCAATGGCGTTCCGCACGATTGACCAAACCCTGCGGAACCAGCGCGCCGAGGGCGGGTCGGGCGCGAGCGCGTCGCGCAGGCGCTCAGCACCCTTTGACCAAACCCTGTCCCCACTGGGTCGTGGCAGCTCAGCCCCGCCATCACACCACCCCAGTTGGGGCTATACCCCTCGGCACACCATCGAGGGGTTGGCTAGATCGGCCAGTGGGGCCCAGGCCACGCCATTGGGGATAGGGGTCGGTTAAACGATGCTCACAGAAGCAAGCCCGGCCCCGTGCTCTCGCAGCACGCTGGGCACGGGCGAGCGGGCGGGGTTGGCATGGACGAGGCCCCGCACGACCTCAACGCGGCTCTGGTCGGCATGGACGAGTCGGGCTCGCGAAGCCCACCCTCTCAGTCCCGCCCCAGGGAGGTCTCTCCCACGAAGGTGCCGGCTGCGCGCCGTCGGACAAAGGTGGAAAAGCTGCCCCCGGAGAAAGCCGCGACAGTGCCAGGCCCGGTGCCCATGCAGCACAGCGAGCGCCCACTCCGCTACGAGCGGCTTGCCGAGGGACAGCCTGTGGAGGAGGCGAGATCGGCGGGCGCGTCGGAGGAGTCCAGAGGCGCGAGGGTGAAGAAGCTGAGTCCAGGGAGGAGCACTTTGTCCGTGGCCGAGCCCCCTGCCACGCGGGCGGACGGTCACTCCCCTGCCCACTCGGCGAGATCCGCGAAGTCGTCGCGGGTCAGCCCCACGTCCAGGGGCACGAGGACGAGTCCGACTCGCTTGGGGCACCGCGTCGAGGAGCACCGCGTCGAGGACATGTTCCTCCCCCCGAAGCAGCATTCGGCCGGGTCCGTGGCGGAGCCGCGCCAGGAATCGCAGGCTGCCCAGGAGTTCCTGACCGACGGCGAGGAGCACGAGTCGGAGCTCAGAGGAGGAAAAGGTGCCGGTACCGCCACCCCTTGCCTCGTTGCCGCCTTCTCGGGCCGCATGGGAGGCCCCCGTCGCCACGGCTGGATTCGTCTCGAAGTTTCCGGTGCCAGCGCACCCCGGCAGAGGTCCCGGGAGTGTCGTCATCGGTGCCCGTTTTGGTTTCCGCAGGAGCGGGGCAGGGAGGCCCCTGTGCAGCGCCCGAAACCCAAGCGAGTCAAGCCCCTCTCGTCAAGCACCAGCACAAGCCCACTCGCCAAGCGAATCGAGCCCCTCCCGTCAAGCACCAGCACGAGCCCACTCGTCAAGCGCATCGAATCCCTCTCGTCAAGCACCAGTGGGCGTGGCCCGATCCCCGCCGCTCCCGCCGTCCAAGACCTGTCGGGAGCGGAGAAGGAGCGGGCCGAGAGGGACCTGGACGCCGCGCTGCGGGCCTGCAGGGGTGGCGTGGTCTGGCCGCACGTGCGGCTGATGGTGCGGGGCGGGGGCGGCGAGGGAAAGACGAGCACCATCGGCGCGATGTCCGGGAAGACCTTCGAGGCCAGCCAGAAGAGCACCGTGGGCGCCGGCACGCTGGACGTGGAGCTCCGGCAGGAGGCCCTCGAGGCCGGGGGCGGCTCGGGCTGCCCCCTGCAGCCCCACCAGCGGGTCGCCGACGAGTACGTCGCTGCGCTCGCCGGGCAGGCCGCGGAGGGCGCCGCCGCGCCCGCGGCGTCCATGCTCGACGCCCCCCGCGCTGCCGCCCGGGCGGGCCGCGGGCCCGCCCCCGGCGCGGCGCCGCCCCGCGCCGCGGCCGAGGAGTGCGTCGTGGCGGTCGCCCCAGCGGAGGACCCCAGCCGTGCACTCCCCGCCTGCCCAGGCCCCCCGGGCGCGGAGCAGCCGGCGCGGCTTTTTTTTCTCGGCGCCGCCGGCCTCGGGGGGCCCCCGCCGGGCCCCGGGGACCGTCAGAGGACGGCTCGGGGTGGAGCTCCCGTCCCGAGGAACGGGGTTGGGACCTGACGGGGCCCCGTATTGAAGAAGACGGAGCATCGGATCGTTGGGCAGGCCTTCCAGATGGGGCCGGAGTAGATGGGGTCGGAGGATCGCGCCGCATCGCTGATGCATCGCCGATGCATTGCCGCTGCGGCTCGATGTGGATCCCGATTCTCTCCACGACGATGTCGCCGATGATCGCCGACGTTGCTGTTGCATCGCCGATGCATCAGGGATGCGGCGTGACCCATCCACTCGGACTCCATGTGGGAGGGCTTCTATTACGGCAGGCTCGCGTCGTGCTGACGAGGAAGCGATCCCGCCGCGGGCATTCAAGGTTGAACGCCGCCAGTGGCCCAGAATCGGCCAGTATGGAACGATCTGGCGATGGGAAAGCGGCCGATCGTGCAAGGTTGACCGGTCCACGTGGTTTCAGAAATCAGCTCCTGGGTCGTCACGACGCGAACATTCCATACTTTGATCCTGGCCAGGCCGATTTGGGGCCCACGATTGGTGTATAGGTGATCTCGGGTCGAGGGTTTACAGGCCCACCCCCAGTTGGAATGGGTCCCAGGGTTCCACAGGCCTCCTCAGATGGGACGACGACGACGACGACGACGACGACGGCGACGACGGCGACGACGGTGACGACGGCGACGACGGTGACGACGGCGACGACGATGGCGACGACAACGACGACAGCGACGATGCCGACGCCGACGCCGACGACAACGACGCCGACGCCGACGCCGACGCCGCCGACGCCGACGCCGACGCCGACGACGATGAAGATGAAGACGACAAACCAGTCCACACCCACGGGGAGAGGAGCACCAGCACCTGCCACCACGCCACCCCCATAGGGCCGCGACCGCAGGGGGGTGGGAGGGGTGGCCGATCCCATTCGCGAGGCCTCCGCGAGGCTCACGGAGGTACCCATCCAGCAGGGGGGGCGATCCCATTAGCATTAAGTCGGGCCTGTCCCTCTACAGGGGGAATTTTCAAAAGTAGTAACAAAAGTAGTCTGGGGACTATTTTTTGAATATTTTTGGGCATCTTTTGAGCATTTTCTTTGCAGTTTTCATTTTTCGCCCAAAATCCCCCTGTAGGGGGACACGCCCGACTTAACATTAACACGGGGGGCGGGGCGGAGCCCTGGATTATGGTTGCTTCCCTCCCCAAGCCAGGCGGGCGTACGCACCCTGGCTCTGGGCTGAAGGAGGGACCTGGCCAGGCATCGGTGTGGGTGCATGGTTGGCGCGCCCTCCTACCCCAGACCCGTCGCCGCCCCCACCCTGCGACAGCCGCTCCCTGCGCTGCTGCCGCAGGCGTGGCGCCACCACCGCCCCGGCAGCTCTGTCCGCAGCCCCTGGAGCGGCACCGCCGGCTGCCGCCGCAGCCGTCGCGGCCCCGCTCCCCACCACTGCTGCTGCGGGCGGCCCCGGCGCGGCGGCGGCAGGAGAAGCGGACGCCCCTGAGGCGGCAGCGGCGCCATCCAGCCCGCCACCAGCGGCCTCCAAGGACCTCGTTGTACGGTATGCTGCCGCGATGCAGCACCCGGATGCGAGCAAGCCGAAGCTTGTGTTCCGTGTGCAGGACACCGGAGGGCAGCCGGTCTTTGTGCAGCTAGTCGAGCGCCTCATGTCTTCCGCAGCAACAGTGTACATGGTGGTGTTCTCTATACCCAAGCTGCTGAACACGTTCCCCGCGCACTCCAAGAAGGTGACCGACCATCTCCTGGCAATAGCAGCGTTCGCCCAAGACGCCCCACTGCTGTTGGTCGGCACGCGGAAGGGCGAGGCTTCTGAGGCCGAGCTGAAGAGCGTGAGCGACCAGCTGCGCCTGCACATTGAGCAGCACTGCCCTCCCTCCGTCGCCCGCATGGCCCTCGGTGGGCGGGGCGTCGACGGCATGTGCTTCTTCGCCGTGGAGAATTCCCAGGGCTACGCGGGCGACGATTCCATCCGCGAGCTGGTCCAGGCCTTGGAGCGCGCGGCCGCCAGTCTGCCCTCGATGAGGCAGCGCGTGCCGCTGGCGTGGCTGCAGGTCTACGACGCGCTGCGGCGCCTGTCGGAGCGCCAGCGTCACGTCCCGCTCGGCAGGGTCCGGGAGCTGGCGGAGGCCCACGGCATGCCCCACAGGGGGCTCACCCTGGAGCAGGAGGTCGCCTCGATGCTCCAGTTCTTCCACTCGCTGAACGCCGTCCTGTGGTGGGGGGACGTCCCGGACCTGGCAGGCCTTGTGATCCTCGATCCGCAGTGGATGATCGACGCGGCCTCCTGCTTCATCCGAGACTTCGGGCTGCACGACCACACCGAAGGCTGGGAGAAGATGCGGCTCTTCGACGAGAGGGCCAGGCGGGAGGAGCTCGCGGCATGGAAGGAGCTCACACAGGGCAGCGGCATCCTGCACAGGTGCGTGCTCGACATCCTCTGGCAGAGCCAGGACTTCTCGCAGCACCGGCAGGAGCTGCTGCTCCTCATGCGCCAGTTCGGCCTCCTCGTGCCCCTCCCCAACCGGGCCGACCAGTACCTGGTCCCCGCGCTGCTGGACCAGCTGGACCCCGCGATGGCGCACGCCCCAGCCTGGAGGGCGCTGCTGGATGCGCCCAAGCTCCTCGTCCACTTCGCAGGCCAGCCACAACTGGGGGAGCTGTGGTCCTTACCCCCCTGGGGGACCCATCGATTCCGACACCCCTCCCGAGAGATCGTCGATGCGATGGGTTCCCCCAAGGGGGGTAAGGACCACAGCTCCCCCAGTTCTGGCTGGTCGGCTTCGCGCTCGCGGGGCAGGGCCGCGCCGCGGGCGCGGTGGTCCTGGACGCCGCGGACCTCTCCGCGGGCTTCGCGCCCGCGGCCGTGTTCAGCAGGTTCTGCACCGCGGCCCTGGCCTGCGGCGCTGGGGCCGCGGAGGGGTGGGTCCTGCGCCAGGACCCACGAGCGGCGAACGTATCCACATCTGGCGACCGTATCCACATCCTCCTCTGTCTCTTGTTCCTGATCCTCCTCCCATTGTTCCCGATCCTCCTCCTCCTCCTTGCCTCCTGGCTGTCTTGATCACGAGCGGCGAACAGCACATCTCCGTATCCGCGCCCTCGCGATCTGGATTCCCGGGGCGCGATCCCGCGGTTACGCGGTCGCACGGAGACGTTCCGCGCGGGGCATCCTCGAAGAAACGACGTGTATCCGCGGGGTCGCGGCCCAGGGGCCCAGCCTGCGAGGCCGCGGATGCGGATTTAGATCTCGCCCACGAAGGACAGGGCCCTCGTCACCTTCGGCCACCAGCCCACCGTCCTCGCCCACGACCCCAGCAGCTCGGGCATCTACCTGCATTTTGACGCGGGCCAGGGCGGCAGCAAGGGCATCGTTGTTGACTTCATCCGCGTCCTCCTGGCCGAGGACCTGTCGAGCTACCCGAACCTTACGGGCCGCGTGCTTGTCCCACTGCCCGGCGACGCGGGCAAGTGGGTCAACTTGGAGGCGCTCCCGGGCGCCCCTGCCGAGTCGCTGCCCTCTCGCGACCTGAAGGAGGACCTCGGGTTCGAGTGGTTCACCACGAGCTGCGACTTCTTCTTCGTCCGGGCCGCCCGGCTCAAGGAGGCCTCGGACGCGGAGTTCCCAAGGGTGGTCACCCTGCAGGAGATGAGGTCCCGCTTCCCCGACTGGATTGAGCGCCGCACCATAGACTTCTACGGTGTGGTCAGGGGTGATTACCGAGAGCGGTACCTCGCAGTCAGCCACCGGTGGGAGGACCCCGAGCACCCAGACACGGCGAACGAGCAGCTCAAAGCCCTGAAGCGGTATCTCGTCGAGCACCCCGACATCGATTACGTTTTCTACGATTTCTTCTCGCTGCCCCAAGGCGGCCGGAAGAACCGGACCCTTGAGGACAATGCGGCATTCTAGCCAGCCGCCTGCGGCAAGTCCCGCCTCCGCGCCATCGCAGCAGCGCAGAAGGAAGGAGGTTTAATTCAAGTCCTCTTCCAGTTCAGCGCTCTTAATGGACACACACACACACACGCCCTTGCACACGCTTGTGCACGCGCACGCACACGCACACGCACACGCACACGCACGGACACACACACACACACCCACACCCACACCCACACACACACACACACGCACACGCACACGCACACGCACACGCACACGCACACGCACACGCACACGCACACGCACACGCACACGCACACGCACACGCACACGCACACACGCACACGCACACGCACACGCACACGCACACGCACACGCACACGCACACGCACACGCACACGCACACGCACACGCACACGCACACGCACACGCACACGCACACGCACACGCACACGCACACGCACACGCACACGCACACGCACACGCACACTCACACGCACACGCACACGCACACGTACACGTACACGTACACGTACACGTACACGTACACGTACACGTACACGTACACGTACACGTACACGTACACGTACACGTACACGTACACGTACACGTACACGCACACACACACACGCGCACGCACAAGCACCACACACACGCCCACGCACACGCGCACGCACACACACATGCACACGCACACACAGACGCAAACACAGACGGCACACACACATACACGCACTCACGCGCGCACGTACGCACGCACACCTGCACACGCACACACCACACACACCACGCACACCACACACTCGAGTTTAGTGGGAGTGCGCAACAACATACACACGCACACACGCATACACACGCACACACACAAGCACACATACGCACACTCCCCTGCACGCCCCCATGCACACCCCCATGCACACCCCCACGCCCACGCCCACGCACACGCCCGCGCCCACGCACACACGCACACCCCCACGCACACCCCAACGCACACCCACACGCACACCCCCACGCACACCCCCACGCACACGCCCACTCCCACCCCCACGCACAGCCCCATGCACACCCCCTGTACACCCCCATGCACAGCCCCACGCAAACCCCCACGCACACCCCCACGCACAGCCCCACGCACACCCCCACGCACACCCCCACGTACACGCCAATGCCCACGCCCACGCCCCCGCCCACGCCCACGCCCACGCCCACGCCCACGCCCGCGCCCGCGCCCGCGCCCACGCCGACGCCCACGCCCACGCCCAAGCCGACGCGGACGCCCACGCCCACGCCCAGGAACACGCCCACGCCCACGCCCACGCACACGCACGCGCACACGCACACGCACACGCACACGCACACGCACACGCACACCCCCACGCACACGCACACGCACACGCACACGCACACGCACGAGCACGTACCTTCGCACACGCACACGCACACGCACTCGCACACGCACACGCACACGCACACACACACGCGCACACGCACATGCACACGCACACGCACTCGCACCCGCACACGCCCATGCCCATGCCCCCGCCCCCGCCCACGCCCGCGCCCACACACGCACACGCACACGCACACGCACACGCACCCGGACCCGCACCCGCACACGCACACGCACACGCACACCCCCACGCCCACGCACACGCACACGCACACGCACACGCATATGCACAATCATACGCACACGCGCAAGCGCACGCGCACGCGCACGCGCACGCGCACCCACCCACCCACCCACACATACACACCACACACCACACACACACACACATCACACACACACCACACACACATACGCATCACGCTCATGCACACGCACACCACACCACGGACCACACACACTCACACACCGCACGCACCACACACACACACCACACACACACGCACACACACACACACACACGCACACACACGCACACACACGCTCACACGCACGCACACGCACGCACACGCACGCACCCACACGCACCCACACGCACGCACACACACGCACACACACGCACACGCACACGCACTCACGCACACGCGCACACGCAAACGCACACCCACACCCACACCCACACCCACCTCCACACCCACACCCACACCCACACCCACACCCACACCCACCCACCCACACCCACACTCAACACACACAACACACACACACTCGCACGCACACGCACACGCACACGTACACGCTCACGCCCACGCTCACCTACACGCTCTCACGCACGCACTCACACGCACACGCACACGCACACGCACACACGCACACCCGCACACACGCACACACGCACACACACAAACGCACACACGCACACACGCACACACACACACTCACACTCACATTCACCCTCAGGCTCACTCTCACACACACTCTCACACTCATTCTCACACACACGCACTCACAAACACATCAACACATACACACATACGCACATACACACATACACACATACACACATACACATACACATACGCGGACACACACACACACACACACATATTCACACACATATTCACACACACACACACTCCTTGTCCGACGCCTCGGGCTCCCCCTCTTCAGTGATCCTTTCGGCCCTTTGGAGGATTCATTGGGGGTCGGAAGGGCCTCTTGGGTCCCCGCTTGGGGGCCTTTGGGGTTTCTTCAGGGAGCCCATGGGGGGTTCCGGGACCGTTTTGGGCGCGATGGTTATGCTGAACCCTCCTGAAGAGGCTTGGTTTGAATCATTTTGGGCCGCCTTGGCGGGTCTTGGGGCCGTCTTGGGAGTCCTGGTGGGCCGCCTCGGGGGCCCTCTCAGGCAGCCTTGGGAGCGTCTTGGTGCCGTCTTGGGGCCGCTGCGGTTTCGGGGACATGTTGAGGTTCTCGCAAGCTTCCCTGAGACGGTCGAGCAGATACAGCAAAATGGTTGCTAATTTTTTTCTGTATTTTTCTCACCCAGTCCTTCTTTTGGTTGGGCCCTGGCTTTGAATAAAGCGTTGCTGCTCCTATCCTCTCCCGCTACATCCCGCTCCCTGTCGCCCTCCTTTTCCTTGCTTCTTCTTCTTCTTCGCTTGTTTTCGAGTCCTCACATGATGGGATCCCGATTTGAATCGAGCACAGCTGCTTCTCCCCTTCCTTATTCCGCCTCCTCCCCTCCTCGCTGCCGTCTCCTGCCACCCATATTTGTCGCTACCCCTCGCTTCGCTTCGCTCCCTCTTCGCTTCTTACTGGCATCCCCTCCCTGAGTGTTGCCAACTGCGCAACCGTCGCCGCTTTCGTGAGCTCCCGGGAGTTCCAGCGACGTAGCGCCCGATTCAGATCCGAATGAGATTTCGCTTCGGTGGGGGCTGCCAAGTGCGCCACCATCGCCACTTTCGCGAGCTCCTGGGATGTTCAGCGCAGTGGCACCCAATCTAGATCGCTTCCGTGGGTGCTGCCAAGTACGCAGCTGTCGTCGCTTTCGCGCGCTTCTGCGATATCCAGCGGAGTAGCACGATGCAGATCCAAATCAGACTCCGCCTCTCTGGGCGCTGCCAAACTCGCAACTATCGCCACTTTCGTGGGTCCCTGCATGGTCGGTCTAGCGGGATGAAGTCGTTCGTCTGCAATTCGTTTTCTGCCAGTTTCCTGAGGGCGAGCAGTGCACTTATTCCCCATGTGGTTCGCAGAAGAGTCAACGCGCCCTTTCAAACTTTCATCTTTCTGCGTTGGCCGGTTTGCAGACCACTTGTTGTAGCTGGGGTGGGTACGTCCCTGTTTTATTGGCCTCGGGCCTCGCTGAAGTCTTATTTGTGCGTCTCTTAGGAGCTTCTTTGGACCTCTCGGTGAGGGATCTTGTAGCCTCTGCGGAAGCGTTGGGCCGCTATGGCTTGAACCGATATTGGGCAGCCGTCCAGTGGCCAGACAGGGCGCCGGAAAGCAGGACCAGGGGGAGCAGCGATTCTTTACATGGGTACGCGACCAATGCGGGGGGATCAACATCTGAAGTAACCTCACCAGACAGCTGCCGAGTACTCTAGCACTACACTGTCGCGGGAGCGCGGTGGTGGACACAATGCTGGCCAACATGGTCTTTGTCTACCTCGGCGCTAGGGTCCTGGTGCTCCTGGACTACGCGTACATGGGCAGGTTCTGGACGCGCTTCGAGGCGTGGGTCGCCATGGCGTGCGCTTCGGTGGAGGGTCTGCAGCTGGAGGATCGGGACGGATGCAAGCGTGGAGGTCGGGAAGGGTCGGGCCGGGCGAAAGGGGGGGATTGGGAAAGGGGGGGTTACGAAATTTGCTGCATGCACCTGGTTTCGGCCTCACCGAGGGGCCCATTCCTCGATACATAGCCGCCTCCGGCGCCGGGAGGCGCCGGGAAAATGAGCTACGTGAGCTGATTCTCAACCCCCCCCTTTGCTATCCCCCCCTTTCGCCCGACCCGAAAGGGGGGGGCGCAAACACTGGTGCATGCAGCTCCGATAGTTGGTCGCTCAGGGCGTTT